GCATTTCACCCGCCGAGTGACCCCAAGGGGTCGGCGGATTTCTTGCAGGGGACATTTTATCCCTGTGCCGATCTGCAGGCTACACTGCATTGGAGGGGCCTGGTCGACCATTACATCCTAAACCACCTCACAGTGAAAAGCAGCATTCCTGGCCGAGGGTTGTTTGGAGAGTCGCAGGCTCGTCCCAGCAGTTCCACCCCACACCTGGCAGCTCACCCAGCTGTCTCCCGAATTCACCAGCAATGCGCACAGGCTCCACCATCTATACCATGTGAGTCGTCAGCGGGTTGGCGATCGCATTCGCAATGTTTCCCCATCCAGCGCAGAGCGACTGACCGCATTGGCACAGTCGTCAGGAGACTTTTGACCATGTCGTTCCACCTTCATTCTCGCTGCGTTTCCATCGCGCAGGTAACATCTACCCCATAGCCACATCGTGCATGCATCGTACCCCATAGCCGCTTCGTACACATCCTCATGAAGCACGTGAACAAATGCCACAAGCATCCAGAGCGCAGTTCATTCCTTGTTTACGTGTGATTGTCCTGCTTATTCGTTATAGGGGAGTTGGGTCAGAGCAAAGAGTGCATGCCTCTGATTTTTGTGTGCCCCAGGATGGGTTGTGGCAAGAAGGTCGCCCCCGGCAAGACCTCCGGCGGGAAGGCCTTCGACACATGCTGCAGGGGCTGCGCCAAGGGCGAGGCCCACTCGCCTGATTGCAAGGGCTGACCCTGCCCTCTTTTCCTCCTTAGGTTCTAAGCTGCCCGCGCTGGCCGAGTCTCAAGCCTGCAGGACAGTAAGCAGGAAGCGTGCGAAGGGAAGGGGAATGGCTGCAGAACAGCCGGCTCCTTTTCTCTAGAGACTAGGCCGAGCGAGATAGAAAAGGCGGAGCGATGGAGGGCGCCGCGTTGCTCCTACCAGTCCCTCAAGGGTCTGCATCCCTCCCAAATCACGGGGGCAGAGAGCCTTTACTGGAGGACGTGTCGGAGTTCAAGGTCATGATGTGATTTCCACGGGACCCGCCGCAGCAGGATGCGGAGGGAGGAACGGCATCCCCCCGTGATCGCGGAGCGTGCGAGAAACGCTAGTGGCTGGCCAGTGGGCTCATCATCATTGTTTTGGGGGGGGCTTGACCCGTCGGTGCCGCAGCAAGGGGGTGGAGAGAGATAGTCAGTGCCGACATTCCTAGATCAGAACATGATCATAATACCCTTTTCGAAGCCGTAACGGAGCACATCATAATGCACATTATTCGGGGTAGACAGGCGGAGCGTGAGAAGTTTCACACAAAGTATGTGCTACACATTTAGGAGAAAAGTTGGAACAACACCCGCAGCGCGATCGTCTTGAATCGTCTACGAAAGGCCATGCCCACGGGAGGATCATTGAGTGAGATATGTTTTTCAATATTTGCAGCGTGTGCAAGTGTGCACCATGGGCCAGGTTATCGATATTCCACAATTTGGCTTGCGCGCCCGGCAACAACATTGAGGCGGACACCATTTGATACCCAGGTGCTCTTCCAAGTCAATCCTTCACTGGGCCGCAGGCATGGGCGGTTCCAGGTTCCAGTTTCGTTCCCCCAGTGAGATGACGAAGAGGTGCCGCGCAGTGATGACGAGACGGTATTCCGTAACAGTGGCAGGCGGACGTCACTTAATGCGACGGGCCCCGCCCGTTGTAATTTACATCGTTTCGGCTCCTATCATTGTGCCGTTCTTGGTATTTGTCACGGGGATGTATTTGCTCTACGTTCCGGGCGTAAGTAATACAATGTGGACGTGTTGTTTCGTGCTTCTTTATATAACTACGTTTGACCATTGCTTGATGATTGTTTTACCTGTCGTCCAGAACCCGCATGTAGGAGGACGTGCGCGACCTACCCGTAGACCTTGGTGCAGAAATCTGGCTTTCTTGCAAGGGCCTCGCCTTCGGTGCGGCTCGCCCCTGGCGGAAGCCAGCGGACGCAGACTGGCGGAATGCCCGCCCGCGGAAGTTTGCGGACGGTCGGCGGAAGGTGGCGGGGATACAAGTGATTCGTCTGCAGTTTTGGGTTGAGGGTCTCCAGAATCTGCCACACGTGAGGCTCACATCGGGCCCAGGATGGGGATAAGTCGGTCCAGAGCGTGCCGGAACGCTCCCAGAACAGTCCAGCACGTTGCGAGAAGGCCCCAGCGGCCGATACATGCCTCAGACATACCAGATTGCGAAGGCCTTATGGCCAGTGCCGCCGACGTCGAGGATGTTGAGGAGCAGGTGGCGGAGGACGCTAGGGCGAGAAGGAGGAGGAGGAGGAGGAGGAGGAGGAGGAGGAGGAGGAGGAGGAGGAGGAGGAGGAGGGGCGAGGAGGAGGCGGGGAGAGGAGTGCGAGGGGGGAGGAGTACGAGGAGGGGGGAGAGGGACGAGGAGGGGAAGAAGAGGAAGGGGGGAGAGCAGGGGGGAGAGCGAGGCGACCAGGACGCATTTGCAGGAGAACGACGGCTGACAAAGAGGAGGTGCAGCGGTGGGTAGAGCGTGGCGAGCATGAGCAGCAGCAGACGGAGGAGGAAAGCAATGACGAGAATGTTGATGATGACGACGACGCGGATGATGTCGGTGATGATGACGATGATGGTGTCGTTGAGGGAGGGGTGGTGGTGTAAAATTGGCGGTAGGAGAAGCTGGAAGTGGAGTAGGAACGTGAGGATGATGGTAATGAGGGGGAAGAGGAAAGGGATGAAGAGGAGGAGCCCGAGGCCGAGGAGGCGCGGGAGTAGGAGGCAGAGGAGGAGGAGGGAGAGCATGGGGAGGCTCAGGAGGTTGAGGAAAACAACGGGGGAGGCTGCACACATGCTATTGTCAGGGGTGGTTCCCCAGAAAGGCTGATGGTGGACATGGACGACGTGACGATGACGACGACGACGACCACGACGACGACGATGACGACTACGACGCTCACGACGACGATGGACGACGAACTGTTTTTGGGGCAGCGCGTCCGTGGCCGAAAGAGGAGGAGGGTCAGGAGAGGGAGGGAAACGGGAGTGGCGGGGAGAGGGGGAGTCGTATTTGCCCCGGGACCCCCCCTGGACTTCCCTGGGACCCCCCCGGACCACCCCTCCGGACCTCCCCCCCCCGCGGGGGAGGGATCAAAGGGAAGGTCGATTCAACTACAACGTTGCTGAATTTCGCTGTGGCTGGTGCGCTCGAGGAGGAGGGTCCAAGAAAAGCCGCCAAACCGCCCGAGGGGGAGTCGTCTCTGTCCCGGGACCCCCCTCGGACCCCCCCCCCGCGGGACCCCCAACCCCCCGGGACCCCCCCTCCCGGCGGGGAAGGGATCAAAGGGAAGGGGCTTCCCTTCGACTCAACTACAACGTTGCTGAAACTCTACAGCCTCTTCCACACGCCGACAGGGTCGGCGGATTTCAGAGACCCCCGATCTTTCCCGATCCGATTGCGTCCCTTTCTTGCCTCCGCGTTGCGACTCCCAAGATCCGAGCGGCTCCCCAAGGCTCCTCGGTGCTCTTCCGAACCTTCGCTCCGCGCCCCTCTCTCGTCGCTCCTCGCTCCTCTCACTCTTCCTGCCTCTCTCCTGGCCCCTCCCCACTCCTGGCTCCGAGCTCCTTCGTCCTCCCTCGCAGTTTTCTCCACGTCAGTCTGCGCGGCACTGCGCCCATCGATTTGGACAGGCAGGTGTCCCTGGGTGCGGTTTCACCGCGCATCGTGCCCGCACGCCGCCTCCGAGCCCCTGTCGCCGATGTCCCAGCCCCCCCCCCCCCGGGCTCTGGACCGGCATTCATAGGGCTCTCGCGGCGTTGCCCAAAACGGTACGGTGACCATACCGCGTGGTGAACCCGTGGGCATTCGGGGTGGCCGCACGGTTGTGGTACTCGGGTCGTTATCCGAGAGCGTCTCAGGCGATGGGGGCCTCCGAGGTCCCGAAACGGTGCGGCGACGGACCGTGCGTTGAGGTCGCTTGGGATTCCGTGGTCACCGCACGGTGTGTCAGCACGCCTCTTTGGGACCCCCAGCGCACGAGGGCGGCATGAAAAGAAGGGGCCGGTTGCGCCAGCATCCGCTCGCGGGCGGCTGCGCCAGCATCCGCTCGCAGGCTGCCCGCGCAAGGCCGCGCCGGGGCGCCCCGTTTTCCCCCGCACGGAGCCGCGCTGGCGGCCCGCGTGGGTTGCCGCGTGAGCTCGCCGCGTCCTCTTCGGGTGAGGCCCCCGTCTGCTCGCCGCGGGCATCGCGTGGCCGCCGGGAGGCTGCACGTGGCGGGGGCACGGGCGGAGGGTGACCATTCGGACTTCTCGATGAGGCCGTGCTGAGGCGTGTGGGGGCGACTTCCTGGGGGCCTCTCGTAGCCGTGGAGCCTCCTGAGGCTCTGTTGAGGCGGAAGGGGAGAATTTTCGGTCCGTGGTCCGCCCTCTTGCGCGCCTCTTGGGGCCATGTTTGGGCCCTCTTGGGCCGTCTTGCGCGACAAGGCGAGAAGAACATGATCACGAACCAATCGCAAATCAATGATTTGGGATTTCCGGGGGCTTCTTCGGAAGACTCTTGGACGTCTCTTGGGGCGTCTTGGAGATTTCTTGGATTGTCTTCGGGCGATTTTAGGCGTATCGCAGCCCTCTTGTGCCATCTTGGGGGTCTCGTGGGGCTCTCTTGGCCCGTCTTTGGGCCTTCTGGGCGCCGAACAAGTCACGCGGGGAGATGCGGGAAGCCCCCGAGAAGCCGCGGCAAGCCCCGGGAGATTTGGCAATTTGGGCTCCGCGCCCCTAAGAGGCCCTTCAGGAGTGAGGATTGAGGCTTAGAGGATTGGGGAGAAGGTCCTGAGGGCACGCCCACTCCGAGCCCAGAGGCACGGTGGCGGATATCTGCAGTCGTGATCTTTTCACGACGAAGAGGGGCTTATTGAGGGCGAGGCGGCGCTCGAGCTCACAACGGTGGAGGGCCGGGCGTCGCCAGGGGCCTCTGCCCCCCCCCCTTCGCCGCCGAATATCCCCCCCCCCCCGCCTGCGCGGCAGGAAGCGGGGCAGGCTGCCGGTGCTGAGCTGGTGCGGCGCGGGGCGGCCGGGCACACCGCCAGCGTCAGACCATTCCGATGTCGTGGCGTGGCATCTCCGAGGGAGCAGGTGCTGACCTCGGCATGACTTTTCGGAGGTCCGCGCGGATCTCTCGGATCGGCGCGGGGGCCCCTGGCGGCGCCTCTGGGCGCGGCCCCTGGCACGCCAGGGAGGGGGGTCCAGCGCCGATCCGAGAGAGATCTGCGCGGACCTCCGAAGGCTTCTGCTTATGCCATTCTTCGTTCCCCGGTGTCCGACCCGGGGTCAAACCTCCAGGTCGGTTTCGGAGGTCACCGCGGCGATCGCGGCGGCCAAAAATCGGTGCAATGTTTCTGTCAAGGAGCGGCATGCCCCTTCGCACCGCCCCCCCCACCCCGCTCTGCGATATAGACGTGGCTCATCATCAACCATCTAGCCTAGGCAGTAGGTTGCCAGCTTATGCCCGACATAGGCATTCCTATGTTTTGGCTATGGGTCGACTATCACGCAACCAATTTTGTCAAGCCCCTCCAGCCACGACGATGAAACAGGGGCCAGCTTGTGTTCGGAGGGGGCTCGTTGTTTCTGAGGTCCTTCCATCCTCGTGTGCGCTCAGCCGCTATCTGGGGCCAGAAATGGATTGGGACAGGGTAAGGTGGCTCTCTCAGCGTACCCCTGCGATTATGAGGAGAATATCCTGGAGGCCTCGCGCGGCGCGCAGTAGTTGTATTATCTAGTCCACACGTCAGCTCCGTAAGCTATGGATCGACGTTCGCGCGGCGATGCTCCGGGCCCGACGTAATTCCAACGTTAAGCCGACGTGAACCTCACGTAAATCCGGGGTGGATCCGACGTACATTGGGTCTCAAGTTGCCGCGCGAGGCTTCCAGGATTTTCCTCAGAACTTCGAGGTGGGGACGGGGTGGCTGCGAGGCCCAGAGGAGACGGCACCTAGACGGACCCACCTCGGGGGGGCAGTTCGCCTGGTGGGAGTGGGGATGGCTTTACTCGTCCAGAGCACCTCGCTCCTGCGTGGGCGGCTTGATCTTGCCGGCCAGACCTCCAGAGATTCGAAGAACGAGGAGCGGCGACGAGCGAAAGCTTCCCCTGCCCCAGGCCGTCCCTCGGCGATGAAATTCGGCTTTGGTCAAAACGGCTTTCCTGTGGTGGCGTGATGCTGAGGAGGAGGAGCAGGACGGCTGATCCGTTGCCATTTTGGCTCAAGTGGGAAAAAGGTCCCATTTCGAGCGGGCAGCTCTTTTCCGAGCAATCCAGCGCGTCGTCCGCTGGCGGACACCTCCCCCTCATTGACATCCGTTTTGCTGGCTAGTAGCCTTGGGTGTTCCCGCTTTCCTGCGAGAGCGGCAGAATGGTTGATGCTGTTCCCCCGACAGGTCGTGCGCCCAGCCAGCAGGCTCAGAAGCTTGCGCGGAAGGCGACAAGAGACGCGTTGCTGCACCCACGGGCGCTGAGGACCCAGGGTTTCTTTCTGCTGATGATTTCGACCTTCTTGATAGTATCCCCCGTGCGGCTGGTACTGGCGGTGCTGGCTCTCCTGTTCGGGTCCAGTTTTTTGACCAGGACGGCGACGACCCCGACATCTGCAAGCACGTGAACGCTATTTCCGACGAAGTCATGGCCGCCACCGCATTCGTCCAGGCGAACATTGCCAACCCCTCCAACATCATGCCCTGCTAATCCCAAGCCGTTGACAAGCACGCGGAGCAGCGCGTGCACAAGGCGGGGCACCAGATCTCCGACCATTAACGCCGTATCGCCTTCCACGAAACGCAGATCAAGTCGCTCGTGGACCAAAGCCACATCAAAACTCGAGAAGCACGTCAAGGTTGACGCCTCTTGCACCTTCGATCGCCCGCCGAAGCCTTCTATCTTGGTCGTACGTCGCACGCAGTAAGGAGATGGTACATGCTGATGAGGTCCGCAACGCTGTGGGTCAGTGGTTGCTCGGCGCCAACCTGGACGCCAAGGATTGGGAGTTCACAACCACTCCTTCGGAGCCGTGCTCGAAGCGTCACATCGTCATGGTCAGCGGCTCGCGTGCGTGAGCTTCCAGACCAGTCAAGCAGGCGACCCCAGCATTGCCGAAGACCCCGTGGGCGTTCAGACCAATCTCAATGTCATTGCGGACAGGAACCCGTTCCGGATACGTCGCGGACTCGGGTACAATTTCAGCCGCCGTGAATTTGGATCCATGTACCAGGGCAGGCGTTTCTTTGCCGATCGAGAGCGCGGTGGGATCTCGTTGGCGTGGAAGCGCCTCGTCCTTTTCATTCCGACTGGAGATGGTCAGCATTCGATTGAGTGGAACGCCCCGAACATGCAGGAGCAGGGCATTCAGATGTCTGCTCTCGTAGGCAGGACCGATGCTCTCTTCAGTGGCAGGAGCAAACAGGCACGTGGTCTCTGTCATACTTGTTTGATGCCGTGGGCTGGCGTCAGCCCTTGCACTGCCTCGCTGAGTTCTTCGAACTGGACTGCGAACTCCTTCTTCCCCCACCACGTCCCCACCCGCTCCATGAAGCACTCGTACCTCTCCTCCCTCATGTCGTCCAACAGCACTGTCGCCGCGCAGTAGACCCACTGCTCCGAGGAGGGAGCAATGGACATGGTCGATTTCATCCACAAGCCGCAGCGGCGCCATGCTAGTCTCTGGTCGGGGATCGCTGGCGGGGCCCTCGCGTTGATCCCTGAGGCTCGCAATGAGGAGGTTGTCTCGGACACGGTTCCTGAGGTTCTTCTGCTTGGACTGCATTGCGCGCACTGATTGTCCATAGTGATGGGGCTTCTTGGATCGCGCATTGCAGCATTCCCGAGTTTGGGCTCCTCGCCGAACGGAAACGTCGCATCGCGCGATATATCGGACAGGCTGGGGGACCCGCGGCGCCGCGGGGTCGTCGTCTTGGGAGACGACCTCGCTGCCGCCTCGCCGCCCCTGGTCGACCTGGCGTTCCTCCCAGGGCCCTGCGCGGCGTCGTGGCTTTTCGTCTCGAGCGGGGCAGCGGCGTAATCCGGCGCGCGCGCGCGCCGCCAACAAGACGACGTGCATCGTGGATCCCGCCGCCTTCTCTCTCCGTGTTTTTTCCCAAACTTCGTTGGTTGGGTATTTGTTTTGAATAAGGGACTGTGGTCTCCACCTTCCTTCCTTGCTTCTTCCTCCGGCCGTCCTCCCTCCTCCTGCGTCCTGCTTCCTGGTTTATTCCCGCCTGCCTGTCTCCTCCTGTCTTGCCTGCGGGGGGCTGCGATCTGTGAAACTGTCGTCACTTTCGAGGCCTGTTGGGGGGGCCCAGCACAGTGACGCCACGCGCGGATTCAAATTAGACCCCTCCATCCCTGGGGGGCTGCGATCTGTGAAACTGTCGCCACTTTTGAGGCCTGCTGGGGGGCCCAGCACAGCGACGCCACGCGCGGATTCAAATTAGACCCCTCCATCCCTGGGGGGCTGCGATCTGTGAAACTGTCGCCACTTTCGAGGCCTGCTGGGGGGCCCAGCACAGTGACGCCACGCGCGGATTCAAATTAGACCTCGCCATCCCGGGGGGGCTGCGATCTGTGAAACTGTCGCCACTTTCGACGCCTGCTGGGGGGCCCAGCACAGTGACGCCACGCGCGGATCCAAATTAGACCTCGCCATCCCTGGGGGGCTGCGATCTGTGAAACTGTCGTCACTTTCGAGGCCTGTTGGGGGGGCCAAGCACAGTGACGCCACACGCAGATTCAAATTAGACCTCGCCATCCCTGGGGGGGCTGCGACCTGTGAAACTGTCGCCACTTTCGAGGCCTGCTGGGGGGCCCAGCACAGTGAGGCCACACGCGCACCCCAATTAGACCTCGCCATCCGTGGGGGGCTGCGATCTGTGTGAAGCTGTCGCCACTTTCGAGGCCTGCTGGGGGGCCCAGCACAGTGACGCCACGCGCGGATTCAAATTAGACCTCGCCATCCCTAGGGGGCTGCGATCTGTGAAACTGTCGCCACTTTCGAGGCCTGCTGGGGGGCCCAGCGCAGTGACGCCACGCGCGGATCCAAATTAGACCTCGCCATCCTTGGGGGGCTGCGATCTGTGCCATCCGTGGGGGGCTGCGATCTGTGAAACTGACGCCACTTTCGAGGCCTGCTGGGGGGCTCAGCACAGTGACGCCGCGCGCGGGCCCAAATCAGACCTCGCCATCCCTGGGGAGCAGCGATCTGTGAAACTGTCGCCACTTTCGAGGCCTGCTGGGGGGCCCAGCACAGTGACGCCACACGCAGATTCAAATTAGACCTCGCCATCCCTGGGGGGGCTGCGACCTGTGAAACTGTCGCCACTTTCGAGGCCTGCTGGGGGGGCCAGCACAGTGAGGCCACACGCGCACCCCAATTAGACCTCGCCATCCGTGGGGGGCTGCGATCTGTTGTGAAACTGTCGCCACTTTCGAGGCCTGCCTCTGGGACCTCGCCGGAGACTCAAGTTTGACCTCGCCATCTCTCGGGACTGCGATATGAGATCCCCGCTTTCGAAGTGGCTAGGGGCGCTCAGGGATTATAACTAATCAGCTTTATCACATCCTTGTCCTGTAGCCAGTGTCCTGCGAGTCTCCCGAATTCCGTCTGCGGACATATGTAACCCTCGCTCCGTCATAGCCCCCCTTATAAAGTGTCCTAAACTATGTGCGCCCCGCGCTTGCGCAGGGGTTGGGTACGTCGCCAGGGTAATTTTGTTTCTGCAGATGCGGTTGAGCGCGGGGCATAGCTGAGATTGCTCCAACAGAACCTCTCGGACCATGCCGCCATCCGCTTCGAGCTCGAAGCACCCCCGTGGAAGGGGTCCAAGCCCCGCGGCGTGCCGCGGGGCCTTCTGGGGGCCGACGCGCGTCGCTTGTTTGTGACCCGCACTGGGATGATGTTCTGGCTCCTGGATTGTGGGCGGCTCTCGCGGGGCGCAGCGCCCTCCAGGACATCTTAGCCCCGAGGGGGGGGGCGCCCGCGAATGGGCACAGCTGCGCCCTTTGG